GTATTAAGATTGCTCTTTTTTTTTTTCTCATCTTTCTTAAACATCTCATTTGTATAATTTATTATATTGGGTTGTCAAAAAAGTCATGACATATTTTTTCTGTTTTTCGTTGCAAAAATGCATCATAACTTTTCCAAAAACCCAATATATACTAATATCATATTGGCACATGTATGTAACAAACAATTAAGCACGTATTAAAGGTGCATGCACAAGGTTTTACTGATTGGTGCACATACTCAGGAAATTCTGAATATCCACTGCTTAAGGCACAGACCAAGTCTTTTTCCTCTTTCTGGTGACATCCATTTTCCCAGTTTGCCAGGACTGAGGGGGTATATTAGGCTGTATAATGGCCCCCCAGAGATGTCCAGTCCTAATCCCTAAATATGTTACTTTACATAGTAAAAAGGTCTTTGCAGATGTGATTAAAGGAAGGATCTTGAGATGGGGAGAGGATCCTGGATTGTCCTGGTGGGCTCAATATCATCTCAGGAGTCCTGGTAAAAGGAAGCAGGAGGGCCAGTCATTAGCAGTGTGAGGACTGAAGTGAGATGATGTTGGGCTGCCGTGAGGAAGGAGCCACAGAACAAAGGAAGCCCCTAAAAGCTGAAAAAGTTAAGAAGCAGATTCTTCCCCTCAGAGCCTCAAGAAGGAACCAGTCCTGTTGACACCTTGACGTTAGCCCAGTTAAGACTTATTTTGGACTTCTGACCCCCACAACTACAAAATAATAAATGGGTGCTGTTTTAAGCCATTAAATTTTTGGTAACTTGTCACAGCAGCAATAGGAAACTAATACAGGGAATTCCTGGGACACGGAATCTCACTGCTGGGATCTGCCCAGATCAATCCTATAATCTCACTGCTAAAACCAGAAGTTGGTCACCGTATTTTCAGGTTTTCAATGCCCAAAACAACATATTACATAATATGTATGAGAAAAAGATCTTTATTGAATGATTTTATGATGAAATATATAGATAATATACCCTTACTGTTTTACAAAGACCTGCCTTAAGTGTCATCTCATTTCATCCTCCTAAGAACTCTGTGAGGCGTGCATGAATCAGTCTTCCCACTTTTAGGATGTAAGAATTAAGATTCAAAGAAATTACATAACATGTCCAAGGATACATATCTAGTCAGTGATGGAGCCACATACAGGCCTTGTCAAAGTATCCCAACAGTCAGCATCCTCTACCACGGACCAAGCTGCCTAAGTTCAAATTCAAGCTCCAAAATTTAATAGTTCTTTAACCTTAGCCAAGTTACTTCTCTACATCCTTAATTACAAAATTCAAAATGAGGTTAAAATAATACTTCTGTCATAGGGTTGTTGTGAAGATTAAAGGTGCTAAAATGTGTCAAGTACACAACCCAGACTTGACAAAGAGACAGTTGACAATAAATATCTGCTATCATATCATTCTGTGCTACAGCTATACTACATTTATACCTGAAATACTCTGTATTACTTGATAAAAAATTACAAAAAGTATGCAAAAGTAAAATATAGTAACCGGAATGAATAATAAGATGGATAGGACTGGTTTTCTGTAGAAGTAATCTAAGGTCAGGACTCTAGGCAGGAAAGACAAAAGGAGAGGGGAGACATACTCAAGATCTCTAAAGGTATGACAGTATAAATAAGGTCATCACAAAATTTGGTATTATTAATAGAAGGAGGGGGGGCTTAGAAACTAGAGTATTGTAGTATGAACATATAACATTCATAAACTAACAAAATAATACACAAAATTTCGGGACAATTAATGAATTACAAAGATGATAAAAATGGCTACTAAGAGGAGCTTACCAACTCTTCTGCAAAACTTTTGTCTAACCCTACCATGGCTGTAAGTACCTGTACTGGTTCAAGGGGAATGGAGATGCTGGGAAACAACACAAGGACCAACCAGGCTGTAGAGTAAAAGACAGACCTCCAGTTGAGTCAGTGCTAGAATTTCAATATTGTAATTTCCCAAGGAAGAAGTGTCTCAAAAGACACAACACACACTTTGCCAGACACTACCATGCACCAGTCCTCTTCCCCAATCTCATCACCTTTCAAAAAAATCTCAAACCTAAATATCCTAATTTAATGCCCTTTAATGGCTTCAGTAAATAATTAAAATGTCTCTAAATTCGGCAGTCCAAACAAATCTCGAAATACACTAACCCAAATGTTCTTAAGCTAGTTTATTAAACTTTTCACTCTTTACTTAAACCCTCAACATCCATTTTTCACTATACAACTTTACAAAACTTTATTAGTAGTATTTGCAATACCAGACTCGCTGACTTTTTTCCCTAACGGGTCATAATCTTCTCACTATTGCTGTTAAGTTGAGAAACCATATTGAGGTTAGCTTAAGCAAAAAGCCAGAAATTAACAAAGTAACAGAAGCATGGTTAATCTGAATCCACAAATGATTTTAAGAACCACATTGTAATACTTAATTTCATCTCCACCATCCAATTGTTTTTAAGTCATGTTTAAGGGTACAAACTTGCAACTAGTAGATGAATAAGTCCTAGAGCTCTAATACATAGTTTAGTGCGTTAGATCTTTATTCCCACCACAAAAAAAGATAATCAGGTGACATTATAGAGGCACTAACTATACTACAATGGCGATCACATTACAATTTATAAGTGTATCGAATCTACATGTTGTATACCTTAAGTTTACACAATGTTATATGTCAAGTATAATTCAATTTAAAAAAAAAACAAAAAAAACAGGGATACTGGAGTATTTTAAACTTGAATGAAAAATGCCCTATCAGTCATTTCAGGAAGTGCTGATGAAGAATAACATGGACTAAATAAAGATGGGCAAATTCAAAAAGAAAGAGGGAAGAAAAGCCACATAATCTACAAACAACTAAGCAGCCCCCAGAACGAGGTAGAAACGAATACACGGTTTTGGTAATCTCATTGACAAATTTAAATTTAAAATGGGCTAAGTGAACGCATCTCCTACATGCACTTCTTGGTACTCAACGTGACGCAAACAAGTAAAGGGGGCGGATGGGGGTGACACTGGTCTTATTAAAAGGTTTTGGAATGGAAGGCAAGAGGCCAAATTTCTTGTTCTCTAAAACTTCTACCAACCTTCCACTCAAAACTCCTCATCCAGGTAAGTGTTTTCTTTTCCTCTTATTTAGGTACTCTTATGTGAGCAACAACTCTACGACTTCACTGTCTTTGTAATCCATTAGTTACTCCCCCCTCCGCGCCCCCCCCACACACACAAATTACTGTCCGTGTTTTGCAGAAATAAGCTAACGAAGAAGCTGAGTTTATCTGGATTTTAATAAACAGCGAATCCCTTTGAAGAAGCACCTTTTAAGTCAGCAAATGCCACACATCTCTGAAGAAATTCCCCAAGAGGGGGAAGAACGTCTTTTCCAAGCACAGCGATAGCAATCCTTGGACGAGCTCTCTTTGCTTCCCCCAAAACCTCCCGATGTGTAGGGAAATTAACTGGAAAACTCCATAAACTTTAAGAGACAAAGCACTTCTTCTCGCCTTCAAACCCCAGGACGGATCCTCCCGTGACGAAGGGACAGTACCCAAGCCACACCGCCAGAAGTACTGTACACGCTACACCTGAGTCACTTTCTTCCAAGCCAACGGCTTCCCATCACCAACCCCTTTTAAAGTGCTTCATAACGACACCCCCCCCCAAAAAAAAAAAAAAAAGTTCCCAGGAACAGCAGCCCCGGGTGCCCTGCAGGCCAAAGGCTGCGAGAAATGGCCAGAACTACAGCTTGTACGTTCCTGTCCCCGCTCGGGACAACCCACGTTTTTAAAAACCGCACGTCGGGAACGTCTCACATCCGACGTGCTTTTATGACCTTACCGGCTTGTGAAAGCAAGTGGCTGGCCGGCAGGGAGCCCGAGCGACGTACCTAGCACCCCCCTGAGCACCCCCGAAACACCCCGCCGTCTCCAAGGGGCAGGGGAGCTGAGCACAAAGGCGCTCAGGTGGCCCCTTCCACCCAGGCCCGCTTCTCTCCCACTTCAAGTCTCCGAAAAATCCAAAAGGCACCATGAAAATCTCCGCACAGAGCGCTGCCAGGCCGGTCAGCGGGAGAGTCGCTAAGTAACCGCTTTCCTGGGGACCTTGGGGACACTCGCCCTAAAAGTCGAGATGATCTGGGGGTGTGCCCCGGGCTGCTCCCCCTTCCCCGCCTCCCCTCACTGGAAAGCCCCGTGCGGCCGAGCGACTCACCAGACCAGCGAGCACAGAAAGAGGCAGGAGACCAGGGCCAAGGCCCGCCGGTACTTCTTCATCTTCTCCTCCTTCTTCCCCCGGCCAGAAGGCGGCACATCCTCCCGGCAGCCGCCACTGCCGAGGCCAAGATGGAGGAGCCGGAGCAGGAGCGCGAGGATGGGCGCGGGCGTCCTCCAGGCGGCGGCGCCGGGGAAGCGGCTCCTCAGCGGCTCGCGTGCCGGCTGCCCTCTCCAAGGGGCCCACGGCGGCGCCGACAGGGGCGCTTCACAGGACTCCGGGGACTGCCGCTGCTGCCGCGGCCGCCGGCTCTTCCGCGCCCGCCTCCTCCAGCCGCCGCCGCCGCCACTGCCGTCCCATATCCCCCCCGCCCGCCCCGGCTCTCGCTCCGTGCCTCCGGCGACCAACGGCCGCGGCGTACTCGCCTCCCAGCAGCCAATCGCCGACGGGGCCGCGACACCTCACACACCGCTGAGCTGGAAGGAGCCGCGTCACCCACGTCCGGCGGCCCTCACACCCCCACCAGCCCTCGCGCGGGCCACGCCCCCTCCGACGTCTCCGGCCCGCCCACCTCAAGTCCCGCCCAGTCAGTGGCCCACGTTCAGGAAGTCCTAGAGGAGGAGCCCGGTGATGTTCTGCCTTCTTCCTCACAATGGCCCGCCCCCTCGCCCAGGACGCGCCGGCTGCGCGCAAGGCCCCTTGGGAGTTGTAGTTTGCCTTCCGGAACCCTCCTTTTCCCCTTTCCCCGTCCCTCCTAATAGAATCACGGAGTTGATGGAGACAGTGTACGGTTTCGCTTCTCACCGCAGGACTGACCAGCTTTGGAATTGTTACACTCAGTTTTCCTCTTTGGGCATAGTTCGTGGGATGGCCCTAGAACGAAGGTGGGAAAAAAATCTATACTAATAAAATTTAAAAGGCGTTTTTGGGCCGGGCCCATCGAGCTAAGTGCTGATTGGTAGATGGAAAGGAATGTGCCAAGATTCCCTCTTACCTGATTGGTTATAGGGTGGAAAGTCTGAGGCTTCTGCTCCGCCTCCGGGAGAATTGTGTCGCCCGCCAGGTTCTTCTGTTGCGGGCGGCTCGGTTGATCTCTATTCTGCTGCATTCTTGCTTTGGGTGTGCGGCGATGGTTCGGGAAGGGGAAACTACGGCCTCCGCTGGGGAGCTCCAACTCTCGGGGTGCACCGAAAGCGGGGAAGGCTGTCGCGTACACACACCTATTGCTACGGTCCGGGGTAAAAGAGTGACCGCCTCTCAATCTTGAGTAAGGATCAGTGTGCCCTCCCAGATTTTTATGCCACTTGAGGCCATTAAAGATCTCTCAGAAGCTAGTTTAGGGACACTCTGCCTGCAACTCCAAAATGCTTCACCGCTTTTCTTCCCAAGCGCTTCTTGACATAGTTCTCTTCCCTTGGATGGTACAGAGGATAGAGGAGGAGGCCCTAGCTTCTGCTCAGGGGAAAAGAAGAATTTGGTTTTTGACCTAATGTGTTCCTTCATCTGTCTCAAGTGATATATTCATTTCACACTCTGACACTAAGGGAGAAGTGAGTTGCTACCGAGGGATATTTCTTTTATTAGATAAGAAATATGAAACAACTAACTCAGTGGTGTTTCCCTTTCGGTCTTGGCTGTCCGGTGACTCAGACTATCTTCCTTAGAAAGCAGCCAGACAAATGGAGGACTGGGAGCTCCAATTGTCTGTGCCATGGAATATGACATAATGTTTAGTGTAAACAATATTTGAAACAGGTGTCATTAAAGCATGGGCCACTTATTGCCCATGTGGCTGTAAGAAAAAGAAAAAAAAAACACCTTAGTAAAATGCCCATCTAACGCCTAATTGTGAGCCATGTAATTTCCTTATCAACCTTCTAAGTTGACTTGGTTGTTAATTGTATTCCCAGGAATACAATTCCTGGGGAACTGAATGATTTGACCCATTCTAAAATTCTTGATATAAGTTAACTGACTATTAGAAAAATTCTACAAAGGATGATTTGTTTTTCGAGGCATTCAGCCTAAACTAATTTTCTGGCAATAATCAGGTAATGGTTCCAATGACCTGTTAATGCCACTTAGTATATAACAATTAAATCCTTTCATCTCTACTTCTCATTGCAGTAGGCAAGCATCTATCTTGCCCACAAACAGTATCACATGATTAATATGCAAGTTTTTTTTATTTTAAAGAGATGGGCAACAGAAGGATGGGGATAATTTGACATTCTTTACCATGTTGGGAACCCTTTTCCTTTCACTCCAGGAACTAGGCTAGTCAGGATAGGGAACAGGTGGTCCTCAGTTGGTCTTCAGTAGATTACAACCCAAGAAGTCCTGTTAGAACACATGCTTAGCTCAAGCCTAGCAAGTTATCAAGTGTCTCTTCCATCTCCTATCCTTCTTATCCAAACCCACAAACCTACCCATTGTTTTCCCACCAAAGTCCCTACAATGATCTCTTGAGACATACAGCTAGTAGGTAGAATTTTTCTTTTCTTTTCTCTCTTTTTCTTTTCTTTCTCTTTCTTCCTTTTTCCAACAGTTGAGGTTTTATTGATACCCCTGTTGTAGAGTTGCCATTCACCTAATTATCATTTAATCATTAACTTTCACTATTTCTGTCGATAAATAACCCTTTTCTCTTTGGCCAGTTTCACTTTCATAGTTTTGTTACCGGGAATGATGTGGTACCTCGGTTCTTCGTCTTCTTAAAGAAAGAATTCAGTCAAGAGACAGAGTTTGTGCAGCATAAAACAGCCAGAAATTTATTAGTGAAAACGAGTACACTCTGAGACATGGAGCTGGCTGACCCAAGAGAGGGAAGCAGCCTCGCTTTACATGTACGAAGGTTTTTATCTCAATGGGTAGAATTACCTGCCCCTCTCCCTTCTCTTATCTCTCTTTCTCCCCCCACCCCCCACGAGGCGCCTAGTCCTCCCCTCTCTGGCACTAAACAATGCATTTCTTTGATTTAGGGGCATGTGTAAACACACCCCTGTGATTTAGGAGCATGTGTAAACACATCCCTTAGGGGGCATGTGTAAACCTGGAATCCTGCTGGGCTAGTAAGGTATTGATGGTCCTGACAAATAGGATGTCTTCCTGCCTTTGCTGGCTTTTAATAATGCATTTCTTTGATTTAGAGGTATGTGTGAGCCTGGAATTCTGCTGGGCAGCTGCCAGGGAGGGGTCTTGACCCAAGTAGGAGCTGCAGCAAGGGGCTTTCTAACCGGGGCTGGGTCTCTCCTTCTGCTCATTTCTACCTACCTACCTACCCTATCAGTTTCATGTTAAAGTTTAATCTTCAGTCCTTTAAGCTTTTTCATTTTTCTCTTACATACTTCATAATTTCAGTTCTCAACTATATTGTTGACTCCCAGGTCTATATCTCAGCATCTCTTCAAGTAGTTTCTAGACATAATACTTAGATATTCTACCATCACTTCAAATTTTACCTGCATAAAATAGAACTCATCTTCCCCATAAATTAACTTCTTTACCTGACTTTCTATTTGTGTTGTTTCTCCCTTAAGACTTCAGATAGTAAGAAAAAGAAAAGTTCCATGGAGCTGGCCTTTGAAAAAGCGGTAGATGTTTCTCTACATGATAGTTAAATATAATGGGGAAATGTTATCTTGTAACTCGATAGATAAATATAATAAAAACAAGGGTTATATAAAATAAATTTAATATAGATAAATGCCATCATACTAAAAAGTATAACATCTGCCAAAGAATGGCAAGAAAGAGTGTAGAAAAATCAAAACATGCATATAATCTTTAAGGCCCTGCCTAAGTAACCACCATCTACCATCTCCCGCCTATACTGCAGTGGTTCTCAACCAGGGACAATATTTCCCCTTGCAGAAAAAAAAAATGGCACTGTCAGGTGACATTTGGTTGTCACAGCTGAGGTAGTAGTCTGTCTAGTGGGTAGAGGTCAGGGACGCTACAATCCTAAAACACACAAGACAGCCCTCCAAACCAAAAAGTTATTTGGCCTGAAAAGTCAAAAAGGCCAAACCTGAGAAACTCGGCTATAACAGAATCTCCCAATTCAATGAAATCTATACTGCACTGATTACTCAGGACACCACAAAGGACTCAACTACATGAGGAACATGAGTTTTCACATTCCTAAAAGGTTAACTATACAGAAACTCTGGACAATTCAAGTCCCTGCCCTGATAATGATCAGATACTCTGTTTGCTGATATTGAAAAAGAACAGGCAGCTCTCTGAAAACAAGCCTGTGTCCTTTATCTCCTAGATAAATCATATTTAAGAAGCCCCCGAGAAGAAATATTTGTCTAAATCAAGTTGGTGATATTGGGTGAGCAAGCTTTACATATTTGAATTAGTTAAAAAGTTATCCGCCCCTTTCAATATTATAAAATGCTGAGATACAATGTGTCTTAGAAACAGTTGAGGCTCAATGATATTAGATGCTTCAGAGTAAAAAGGCAGTTAGGACAAAAGCTCCCTGGAAATCAGTGAAAGAAAGGTCAGAGAATTGAGAAAAGACTAATAGACAATAAAAGGGACTAACCCGGATGGAAAGAAGGGTGAATGTGGCGATTTGCACTTAAAATGTTAAATACAGTATAAACAGCTTTCTTCCTATTTGGTCCTGCTCCATTTGCTGCTGCTGCTTTGCGTGTGTGTAAATATATGCATAGAATAGCATAGACCTGTTTTATTTAGTTATTCCCTATCTGAAGAGAGCCTAAACTATTTTTGCCAGATTCCTTAACGGAGCACTGATAATGTAGCCACTTCCAGAGGTAAAGACAGAACTCAGAGGGAGATGAGAAAATCAACTGCTTTCCTGGGACAGCTTGAGAACTCAGCCCCTTGACAGAGAAGAATCACCAACTGCAGTGTTGCCTTGTTCAGTTCTGTTTATACTGCAAATCATAAAAGATTTCCCTTTAAAATTTTTTTCTATTTCATGACTCCAAATCTAATCATATGCTTTCTAATTTTGGTTTGCCTGACACTTATTTGGTATTCTATGTTTGACAAAAACAGTGATGGCGGGCTCTAGTCAAATAAAATAAACAGATACATATCATACATTTATAATACTTATATAAAATGTTTCACTTTAGGTCATGGGATGGATGACTTTAAGGAGTAAGCATTAGAGATACTATCTTCTTTGAAGCAAAGCATTCAAGAAAATTAAAAGAACAAAATGTGGTCCAAGTACAAAGTGATCAAAGTGAGTTCAAGATAATTAAACTGGGTACAGAGAATACAACTGAACACATGCAATTACCTTTACTTACAAAATCCCATGAAACAACAGGAGAGAAAGCATAAGAAAAAATATGGCCAAATGTTTATTGTTGAATCAAGATGGAGGGTATACAAATAGCCATTGTACTATTCCTTCAGCTTTCCTATATGGTTAAAATTTTTATAATAGCAATTTGAAGGGAGTATGAACACATAATTGATGCTGAGACCCAAACCGTCTTCCTGCACTGACTGCCAGGCTCTCATTCTCCAGGCAGGAGATTGAAAGAGTCTTCTCTTGGGAATTTAATTATCCCAAAAGGAAAGACCAAAAAGATTCTGAAACCTGAGATTTCCCAGTTCACCCTACGAGAAGGGTCATAATCAAGTCCCACCATGCACTCGGGATATCTAATCAGTTTTTTAGTGTCCCACTAATGATTACCAGGCATTAAAAAAATGCTCTGACATGGAAGATACAGGCTAAAACTAACAGGGAAAATAAACAACTTGGAGTAGAAGAAACAGGCGATGCAGGGAGAAGAAAACAAAGAAAAGACATTCTAACTTTTTTTTTTTGCCAGATATTGCCACCCTAAAGTAGGAGCAGGATACTACAAAAAAGAAACCTGTTGATAAGAACAACAAAAGATCTCTTGTAAAGCTGTAAAGGCAGAAATGAAAACAGTAAAAAATTGGAAGATGATATTGAAGAAATCATCCAGAAAGTAGACAGAAAGACAAAGGGCTAACCTAGGGGGGTCCAGTATACCTATAGTGGGAGGAGAAGAGAGAGGACAGCATGAGGAAACAAACAATTTGCAAGACATTTTCCTAAAATTGAGAGTTTTGAAATTGAAAGTGCCCTAGTCGAAATGCCCAGCACACTGGATAAAAATAACCAACAGGGAAAAGTCCTCAGCCTCCATAGCAGACAATCAATCAATAGTACCTAAAACTGGGGAAAGCAAAAACAAAGAATAACAACACACACTATTTAAAATATGGAGGTAAACATCAAAATAATTGATTATAAGACGTGAAAGGAGGTGATTTTTGGAACAGGGAGAAATAGAAGGGCACTAGGCAACTCCTACTTTTCATAACTTTGTTAGAACTATTTGATTCTTCTGTGCATATATAACTTTGAATTTTATATAATGGAGATGTTTTATTGTGATGTTTCTGATTTGTGGCAAATAAGTTCAGATTTTTAGTGTTTTGATATTTTTCCCTTTCCCATTCATCATCTATACTGAATATATGGAACAAAGGACACTATCTGCGGCGATGTATAGATTTTGCAATTGTGTCATTCCGTCGCTGGACTTGAAAATCTGAAGAGAAGGCAAAGAGATAATAAAAAGTGGAGATATGGGGATAATGGACATTTTCATAAAAATCATTTTTCTCTTTCAGAATATGAGCGTAGTACTAAAACTCTCCTTGCTACTCCTGCATTCAAAACTACCTATTTCGTGTCTAAGATGTAATTTTTTCCCTTGCCTGAAATTTTCTCCCTCCCTGTTATTTATGTCTATTTTAAAACCATCTTTCTAATGGCTCTATAAAGTGAAGCAATTACCTAAATAATTGAGAGAAAGTTACTTTGCCTCAGTTACTCAGTCATTATCCCGGTTTGGGGCCTGAATTGTAAGGATTATTATATGGATCAAGTAATTTCTCCTCTCCGTGTTACACAGGAGAGAATGTGGTATTAAAGTGCGTTAGCCTGTAAATCTTTCAAAGATCCGCATGAAATGATTTTCAAGGTAAACTAGTATTGAAGAGCCTCTGCAGTGTCCTTGTGCTCTATCGTGTCCTTGCAACTTTCAGTTCGTTACACTGAAACGACTCGGACAATGTAGCTGAACTCATTGGGAAAGTCTGTTCCATAGGAAAGCATGAAACATTAATCATTCCACATCACCAAATAATTCATGAAGAGTAACGGCAATGCTTGTGGGGAAGGCTGAGAAGCTGTTGAGAACGTAGCGTTGTTATAGTAACTTTTTGCAGGCCAGCTCAAAAGTCACTTTCTCCTTTTCCTCTGGCAGAAATAACCTTCCTTTGCAGTCTCCCCAATTTGGGAACTTCGGTCGCGTGAATTATAACTTGATCTCACTGGGAGGACAGAAGTGTCTTATTTCATCTCTGTGCCCCCAACAACACTTGGCATTCTCCTTGGCACATAGGAGCCATTCAGTCAAGCCTGACTAGGAGGATGATAATGGTGATGATACAAGTACCCATGATTCACAGGGTGGGATATTTCATTCAATTTGTTGAGGATCTTCTATACACAAACTTAGAGAATTTTGATGCGTTCTTTCATTTAAAATTAAAACTAACACTAAAAACAAAATTACAACTAAGCAATAGTGTCTCATCATAGTACTTGCGAGACACAACACAAAAGTCTGACTTACTAGAAATGTTTGGCCATTATTGGTCTTTATTGGAACTGTCATTAGTTACCGTCCCACCTTCCAAGATAAAATTGAAAAGAAAATGTCTACTTAAGAAGTTTGAAAGGCAAAAAAAGCTCATTGTTAAAGAATAGGAATGGAGGAGAGAGGGATTTTTGATTACTATAGTTGAAATTTGGAATCCTTAGATGACCTTTGAAATAATTTTGGTATATTTTAAACATTGCATGTTTTTTAAAATTTTATTTTACCTTTGTTCAGAATCTACGTATAGGCCAAAAAATTTAATGTGAATGAATTTATCTGCACAATTGCAATGAACTATGTCTACTTTTCAGTCAGAGGCTCACATTTGCTGGAAATATCTTGATAGATGGACAGAGTATTTTGAATTATTTTTCATTTGTATTTATCAGCAACATGGCCAGTGTAGATTCGGTCCTTCTGTGATAAGCACTCAAAGCACCTAGTTAGCCGTGCTTCTGTTTTTTCTTTTTTTACTCGCACGAGCAGCTCTTTGGGTTCTCACTCCTGTTGGGTCAATTGCGATTTCTCCTAACTCTCCATTTCCCCAATTTTCCTTCTGATAGAATCCTCTGTAAAAGTATAATTTCCTAAGCCTGCCCTAGAACCACAAAATCTCCACAAGAAGGGTCCTGAAACCTGTACTTACTTAATAGGTGGCTTTTAGTGGCAGGTAAATTTTGAAACACTGTTCTAAGACATTTTCATAAGACTTAAAACAAACAAACAAACAAAAAACTCCATTGTACTGATTGTACTGTATTAAAAGTGCGGCTGCAGGGAACTTGGTAACCATCATTTCTATTTTATAATTTCGCTCAGTGTGGAAATTGTGCCACCACTCTGGCTAACTGACAACTGCTACTCTCATTTGAGAGTGAAAAAGTGAAATACGTACGTGACTCCCTTGCTCTAAGTAAACTCCCAGAGGTCAGTCTCATTTTTCATTTCATCTATGCTTCTCACAGACCTAGAATAGACATATTATAGGTGCAAAATATATATATATATTTTTTGAGTTGAAATAAATCAAACTGTGTATTATTGACACAGCAGAAAGCTGACAATAATTACGTTGGCACAGCCGTTATGTTGTGTTCTTGCTTGGAGATCATTATGCTCCCTTCTCCTACCAAGATCCAACGACCATCAACCAAGACGGCCACTGGTTGGCAACGATGGATGGACGATATTAGGAGAGCGCCTCACACCAGTTCTTTCTCCCCATTTTACTCTCCTTCCTTCTTCCTCTGCCCTTTTTCCAGGATCCCGCTGTTGACAACTTTGTCCTTTCACACCCAAGTAATGGCTTTATGTCTATATTTATAAATATAACCCGGAATGTAAACTTCAGTGAGACATGGAGCCTCTCAGCAGAGCTTCTGGTTTTGGTCAGAATATTCATAAAACAAACAGCAGCTCCCCGGCTATAAACTGAGCCATTTCAACGAGGAAGGTGGGACCTTTCTTTCTCTAGGGGGAAAGCAACTCGCAGCAAATCCTTGCCATGGGCCATTGAAAAGTGCTCTGGGCCTGACAGCCTATGGCTCCGCTGGCCTTTTCAGCAGTAAGTGGGGCAACTGACTTCACGGCAGGAGAAAGTGTGACAATGGTTGTGATAGATCGTCTTTTCCAAAAAGAGTCGCAGAAATGTGTCCAGTGCCACATGTTTTCCTGGAACCTTGTCACGACCCCACCAAAAGGCATGCTCTGTGTCTCCTCCCCTGGAAACGGGGAAAGGGAGGGGTGTGCCTGCCTTGATAAACAGATTGTGGCAAAATTAGGCCGTGTGCTTTCCAAGTCTAAGTCAGAAAAGGAGATAAGCATTTTCCCTGGCTCTCTCTCTCTCTCTCTTGGACAGTCATCCTTAGAACACAACCATCATATTAGAAGGAAGCACAGGGAACGTGGAGACGTCACATGGAGGGTTTCTGGCCCATGGCCTCAGCTGAGAGTCCAGTCAACAGCCAGCATCCAAGCCTCTTAATCTTCCAGCTGAGGACCCAGACCTAGTGGAGCAAAGACACATCATGCCCCCGGTGCCCTGTCTTTCCCCTGATCCACAGAACCCATAAGCACCATAATTTTATTCCACAGACGATAACTGGGACAATGGCTAATTTGATCAAAGGAACAGAACACAAAGGCTACCTGTTACCAAAGTATTAATCATGGACATTGCCTTCACATGTCTGTGAGAAAAACCATCTAATGGTCTGTTAAAAGCATCAGCCAGGGAAAAGAAGCCTGTATTCTTGCCAGAAAGATTTGGAGCAAAAGGTCAATAGGACATTGACGCATGATTTTTTTTATGTTTTAAAGGCTCATGATAGTTCATTTGGAAACTACAGACAAATACCAAGGAAACAATGATCCCATTGCTCAAAGTCAATCACAGGTAATATTTTTTCTGTATCTCTTGTCTTTCCTTAAGCATCTGATTTTTAAACATCATTGAGATCACATGATTGACACATGTTAATCCCGCCTACAGTCTTGTACTTCACTGCTTAGCGTAGTTCCTTCCATCCGAAGGATCCTGTGCTTTTCTTTTCTGCCCAGCTGGGGCTGTCTTTCCTCTGGGAAGCCCTCTAGGACCACCTACCCCACGGAGGAGATGTCTACCCCAAAATCATAGCACTCATCACCAACACTTATTTGCTATATAATCACATATTGCTTCATGACATTTTATGTATTTATCTTTGAATGTCTGTATAATTACAAAGTCTTTTCCATTATGCCTTATCTTTCTAACTAGATTGAAAGCAATCTCAAGGCAGGGACCAGTATTTTAATCTTTCTAGTCCATACAGCACCAAATACACATGTGTCAGATACTAAATATTTGTGGAAAGGAAGGAAAATATGGGAAGGAAGCAAGGATGATTTCCTCTTGAATACTTTCAAAGTTTATTTCACAGTTCTTTCATCTCAAAATCACATGAATTATTAATGAGCATAAGTTTGACATGAGGATGGCTGTGTATATATATATATATATATATATATATATATA